TTGGGTCGCTTATGTAAACTATCATATCATCTGCAAATAGAGACAGTTTGACCTCTTTTTTTCCAGTTTGGATCCCCTTTTGTTGTCTTGTAGTTTTAGCTAGAACTTCAAGTACAGTATTGAAGAGATATGGAGAGAGAGGGAAGCATCATCGAAAGCCTCCCCCCCCAAAAAAAAAACCAGGGCCAGAATTCTGCCAGAAATTCAAGGAAGAGCTAATACCAATACTCCTCAAATTGTTCTACACAATAGAAACAAAAGGTTCATTACCAAACTCTTTCTACAAGGCCACAGTCTTCTTGTTACCCAAGCCTCACAAAGACACAACTAAGAAAGAAAACTACAGACCAATATCCCTGATGAACACTGATGCAAAAATACTCAATAAAATACTGGCAAACAGAATTCAAGAATGCATCAGAGAAATCATCCACCATGGCCAAGTAGGCTTCATCCTTGGGTTGCAGGGATGGTTTAACATACGAAAATCTATCAGCGTGATCCACCATATAAACAAACTGAAAAAGAAAAACCATATGATCATCTCCCTAGATGCTGAAAAAGCCTTTAACAAAATTCAACACGCTTTCATGATAAAGGTCTTGGAGAGATCAGGGATAACAGGTACATACCTAAACGTAATAAGAGAAATGTACAGCAAACCAACAGCCAACATCAGACTGAATGGAGAGAAGCTTAGGGTGATTCCTCTAAAATCAGGAACAAGACAAGGCTGTGCATGTGTATTTCAAGAAAGATCTCACTCCATAGCCAGGCTGGCCTGAAACTCACTCTAACTGAGAATATATGGTACTCCTACTTTAGCTCGGATTATAGGATAGGCATGAACCTATACACCCAGCTAACATCTTTGTGATATTGATTCTAAGCAGTGTGCTTTGCCATTCCAGTTATTCATCTCAACCCATTAGTTCTGGTTTCTGTGGTTTCCTTCCAAGCATGATGAATGTGTGGCAAGACAATGAAGATGTGTGCATAATTTATTTCTTAGAAGCATCCCTGGGAATGAGCTCAAACAGCAGCACACTGGCAGGATTCGGAATCTGCTTCCTTTCCTAGAGTTCAGGGAGTCTAGAAGTTGTATTTTATCACTTCATGATGTATTTATTGGCCTGTGTTGCAAACTGTTTCCCTAAATCTGGCTTTCCCTAAATCCTACACCAAGATACAGGGATAGACGCCTGTGATTCTGTCCCTAATAATTGTTTAGTAGTTTTGGTGTGCTGAGATGACTAGGAGCTGGACCCATGCAGTGTGGCTGAGATGACTAGGCACTGGATCCATGCAGTGTGCCTGAGATGACTAGGCACTGGATCCATGCAGTGTGGCTGAGATGACTAGGAGCTGGACCCATGCATGTGGCTGAGATGACTAGGCACTGGATCCATGCAGTGTGGCTGAGATGACTAGGAGCTGGACCCATGCAGTGTGGCTGAGATGACTAGGCATTGGACCCAAGCAGTGTGGCTGAGATGACTAGGAGCTGGATCCATGCAGTGTGGCTTTGACAACCCATTAATTCAGCTTGGCCTAACCATCATGACTAAAAACTATACATAATTCTAGATTCTGCCCATTTCCATTTCCTTTTACTGACTTCTGGCTGCTTGGTACAATGCCTCCTTGTTTATTAATCCTGCACCTTGTATTTCTGCAAACTGGAATCGATTAACTTTTACTTCTCCTGTAACATAGATCTTTCCTATTACATTTCCTTTCCATAAAGAGAATCCTGGAGCTTGAACTCAGGTATTGATGCTTGTGGAGTAAGCCTTTTTCAAACTGAGTCTTCTCCCTAGCCCTAGTTTTCTTTTTTTATTGTCTCAGTGTCTTCAAACATTAAGTAGTGACAAGAATTCCTGTCTCAGAAGGCTGCCATACAGATTAAATAATTATAGAAAATATAAATGACAGTATGTAGTAAGTTAGTATTTAATAAATGTCAGTTGAGTAGATAATATATGCAATTCCATGGTTTTAGTAGTTGAATAATTCTCAAGTTACAGCCAACTTTGACAAAAGCAAGCATGTCTCTGTGAAATAAATTCTCTTAAAATAAAAACAAGAGGCATATTTTATAACATTAAGAAAAACTGGATTGAACTAGATAATGAGTAACTTAACAGATTTTGTGAGTAACTTAACAAATCTTAGGGAAATCAACATGGAGAAAGACACTGACATTTGTCCTCTTTCTTCCTTGTATTAAGATGACACCAAAGACTTGATTGTAGATGTTATTAAAATAATATTTGCAAAGTAAATCTGGTTGTATAGCATGTTGAAAGTTTGAAAAAAATATAAAAGTCATCTGTCAAAAAATAAATTTATCATAGGTGGCATTATCATGGCATGATGGCTTCCTGCATAAATATCTGACAATGTCATCATCTGACAAATGACATTTAGAAGACTAATACTGAATAAATAAATGTCAAGTGAGATAGGATCATATATGGGTAATGCTTTTATGGACTCATTTAGATTTACAGTATACATTTTTTTTTGGTCTGGTAGTATTAATGTTATTTTCCTGAATTTGAGTACTGGTGAGATGTTGTAGACAATGGGAAGAAAATTACTCCAAAACTCCGGTTTCAATAGTCTAAAAGTAGAGTTGGAAGATAGAAGTTAACAAAAGCCCATTTCAACATAGTCCTTTGTTAATGAAAACTCATTGTAAAGGTAATGACTCATCTGGCTTTATACATATATTTTATTAGCTCAGTGCAGGGAAAAACAGAGAGAGAGAGAGAGAGAGAGAGAGAGGGAGGGAGGGAGGGAGGGAGGGAGGGAGGGAGGGAGGGAGGGAAAGAAGAGAGCAAAATAAATTAAGTAAAATAACAAATGGTTATATATAATTGTAACTGTTATTTAGCAGTCTTGTAGTGAACTTGTAAGGGTAGCCACACCCCCTCGGGCGTGGCCTCAGGCAAGCTGAAAGAGAGAAGCTTGAGGCCTGGCTTTCCTTGGCCCAGGCTGGTCTTTCTGGTGAGTCAGCCTATCTGGTAGGAAGGGCAGAGAAGTGCTCCTGCAGTTCTTTGTATTTTTCTGTGCAATTGTTCCCCAATAAACACACATCTATCATTTATCTTTGGTCTAATGAGATCATTACAAACTGGCCTTCACTGTTTTATGTTCCTTGTGTGTAGAGGCTAATGTGTTTTTTTAATTCCTCTCACTGATTTGAGACTCAGTATTGTACACATAATATTAGCAAGTAAGCAGAGGCAGGCAGATCTCTGTGAGTTAGAGGCCAGTCTATCTACATAGTTTCAGGACAGCCAGAGCCACATAGTGAGAGCCTGACTTGAAAACAACTGCAGCTTCTGCTGCTGCTGCTGATGACCAGCCCTAAATAATTAAAATGAAATCAGAAAGATTGGCATTTCAAGAAGTTTGTCTTAAATAACAGATCTCACCTTCTGAAGTGCTGGTCTGGAGTCAGACATCTGATGACTTTTGTCCATTGTGGTCCTTTCTCAGAAATAAAAGCTTTGCCACTCTGACCAGGTAGCTTTTGATTAGGTGACAACTTAAACGTTATGGGCATTTTTGGCGTTTCACATGTAGACCCACGACCAGAGGAAACCCATGTAGAAAGGAAGAGTAGAGCAAACTTACAAAAAGGAATTGAGGAGAGAGTAGGGATCCCAGTAGCACAGCATAAAGACACAGCATTAGAGGCTTCCCAGCTCTAGCTGTGTTCTTTGTTCTCGTCTGTGAGTTGGGTTTCTGTCGCATGCTATCTAGAGTCCTATTATCAGAGACGGTAAAAGTGAGGGAGGGAGAGAGGGAGGGAGAGGGAACTGGGATCGACATGTAAAATAATAAAAATAAAACTAAAAAATAAAAACTAAAATAGAAAGCAAAACTATTTTCTACTTATAATCAGCAACTACTCCCTTTCATAATACAAGGCTAGAAAATTATATACACACACACACACACACACACACACACACACTAATGGGGCTTCTGTGGCATTGGAAAAAATAAGGTCTTTTGATCTCTTGGCACTTTTGGAAGATACAAAATGTTATTTCTTTTCTTAAAATACTGAATCTTGTGGGTTGGGGAGATGGGTTGTTTTGCCTGCTGTGCAAGCATGTAGACTTGAGTTTACATCCTTAGCTACTTCAGGTCCATTTAAAGTGAAGCATGGTAGTTTGTATCTGTAACCACCACCCAGGTAAAGCAGACCCCGGGAACTTGTTGGCCAGAAAGTCTAGCTGCAGTGGTGAGCTCCAACATAAGCTGTCTCAAAACATAAAATGGTGTTTGATAGAAGAGACCTGATGTTGACTTCTGGCCTCCACGTACGCAATCACAGGCAAGGGTGTACACATGCATACACATCTAGGTATTAAGTAAATGGAATCTTTGTGTCTGGCTTGGAATTGTCAAGACTTCCCAAGCACGATCGGTGCTCATTCCAAATAAAATGATCTGCATTTTATCTCACAATGCTACTCCTAATTATTGTCATAAATATTGAAATAAAAATCTGGAGTAACTGGCAAGATGGCTCAGTGGGTAAAAACAATGGACACCAGTGTTTTCTGAGTCTGATTCCCCAGAACTCATATGATGGAAGGAGAGACCTGGATCTGCAAATTGTCTTCTGACCTCCATACCCACTCATGACATGTGTGCATACATGTGTATACACATCTGTGGGTACACACAATACGTTAGACACCAAAGAAAAACCATATTTAAGAAATGATTCTTTAGTTTTATGTTAATTCTAAAGATTAGAGTTAACATAAGGCACTCTTGTAGATGTAGGAGCAATAAAAACAGGTTATATTGTTAAGTAATATTAAGTTATTATGTTAAAATATGTTACAATATGTAGTGCAGTATTATATAATCTTTTTTGGTTATAATAGACATTTATTTAAAGTGAGGCATCTACAGAGCAAATAACTCTTAAATTGTGATTCAGATCTTCTTAAAATTTGCTGAGACCAGGCACATGCACAGATCTCAACCACAAGTTCTCTTCTTCGCCCATTCTTCTTTCTCCTTCCTTTCCCGAATAACCTCTTTCAGATAGGGTTCAAGGTAAAATTTGTCCTCCTCATATTTTGTCCACTGATGCCTCATGCTCAGGTCCAGGGCTCTCTTAATTTGAAACATCCTGTCATTATAAAGATTCTCGGGAAGCCTTCTTATGGCTTCTTTGACATCTTCAGTCTCATATATTGTGTCATCTCTCATTAAACCCAGCTTGTTGAATCCTGCAGCATTATAATACCATTTTCGAAACCCTTCCAGCCACTTTCTTGACGCTGCAACAACAGGCCTGCCCGCCATTCTGACCTCAGTATTATATAATCTTAATGTAATAGAAGTAGATCACCTTTACTCAGAGCTAGTGGATTTGGGATAAAGAAACATAATATACCATCTTTTGAAATTTACCACATAACTTGTATTTGTTATACCATTGTTGCCAGATTTTAATATTTATTTCTAAAACATTCTCATTGTAGCATGATTTATGGTAAGGAAATGGATGCTTTTCTGACAAACCATGCTACTATTAAGTCCTCTTGCACAAGCATTTACTCAGCACAGGTGTTGCCCTGGTGACTGATGCTCCTACACACTCTTTTCACACTATGTCCATTGATAGTGAAAGTTTATTCATCTTTGTGCTGGCTAGGTTGATGTCAACTTGATGTAAGCTGGAGTTATCCAAGAGGAAGGAGCCTCAATTGAGAAAATGCCTCCATAACATGGGCAGAACATTGTCTTAATTAGTGATTGATGGGGAGGGGTAGAGAAGGGCCCAGCTCATTGTGAGCGGTACCATCCCTGGCAGTGGTCCCGGGTTCTATAAGAAAGCAGGCTGAGCAAGCCATGATGAACAAGCCAGTAAGCAGCTCCCCTCCATGGTCTCTGCATCAGGTCCTGCCTCCCAGTCCCTGCTCAGTTTGAGTTCCTGCCTTGTCTTCCTCCAGTAGACTGTGTCAGCATACATAAGTCAAATAAACAGACCCTTTCCTCCCCAAGGTGCTTTTAACCCTAGTGTTTCATCACAGCAATAACAAACCTAACTGAGACAGTCTTTCTTGAAAATTACATAAAGAGAATGTAGAGAGTTTTACATACAAAACAGTAAAGACTGTAGCAATTGTCTGGCAAAAATGTATACCTTTTCCTTTCAAGCATTTCAATGGAAATGTCCGAAGTCTTCTGCTGGTGGTAAGGAGTTTATATGTGATTTAGGTCTTACCAGATTGCCTTACTCATGGCCATCTCAATCCCTTTAGTGTGTGTGTGTGTGTGTGTGTGTGTGTGTGTGTGTGTGTGTGTGTGTGTGTAATCGTTGAACATCATGGCAGTTAAAGAATGTTTTAGGCATTCTTTTACTACAGTAATTTTTACAACAAATGGTTACATGATATATCCACAGACTAAAAATAAATATTTGTCTCCAATGACACACTGGAGGCTTAGAAATGCTCACACAGAGAATGCCATTTAACCCCACTTCTTCCTCTACTGTGAACCATAATTATCACACTTACCTGAAGGGGGCTTTAAGCCCCTACAGTCTCACATTAGAATTTAGCTCAGTTTTCTCATTCTCTAATTAGAATGGCAGAAAACGTTTATTCTTTAGGTTCCTGCCTAAAAATACCATGCACAACACTCTTCCTTGAAACCTCAGATAAACCAGAGGAAATTAATATTTCCAGAGGATTCTGGATCTTGCCAACTATGCCCTTTGATCAGTGTTTTTAGAATGCTTTTCTTTTTTGCTGAATCCCAGAGAGAGTTAAGACTGTGCATACCAAAGCCAGGTGTGGTGTCACATACCAGTGATTTCAGTCCTTGGGAGGCTGAGGCAGAAGGAAAATGATTTTAAGGCCCACCAGGATGTCATAGCCATATCCCATTTCAAAACAAAACATCCCAGAGATTCTTGGCCTGGACACTGACAAATAAAAGTTATACATTAAATAAGTATATACATTTGAGGGGAAAAGCCTATGGAAATTTTCATTATGTTTCCTTTTCAGTTCAAACCATTGTTCCTAAGGATATTGTCAAACTATCTCACCATAAATAATCCCTCCTTTGTAGTCTCCAACCACCCAGAGTCCATCAAAGACTGTAATGTATGATTTAACTATGTAAAAATCCCCTCTCTCTAATAGAGAATAAAAATTTACAGTAAGTAATGGTAATAAATTCTAAAGTGTGGTACAGATAGACTAGGGTTCTGGAGAATCAAGTTCTTATACAACAATAATTCCTAGTGAACTATTTAGAAAGTATTCCTGATTGAAGTTAGTAGTCTGGGAAATTTGAAAAGTAGAGAAAAGTAGAGAACAATTCCAAGGAATGCTTTCAAAATGAAGACTCCTGACTTGTGTGTTCAATCTTGTCAGCCTGGATGAATTTAGAATCAACAGGGACACACACCTCTGAGGGTATCTGTGAGGATGCTTTTCCGAAAGATGTAACTGAATAGGTGAGCTCTAACCTGAATATGGGTGGCATTGTACTATGGGCAAGAGTTCTAGACTCCCAAAAATGATAAAGTTAGCTCAGCATCCATCTCTTCCTGCAACTTGACAGTGTGTGCAATATAAATCAGGCATGGCCAGCTCCTGCTACCATGCCTTGTATACCACAGTGAACTACACCTGATGTGTGAGCCAAAACACGCCTTCCCTTCCTTGAGTTGCTTTTGTTGGCTCTTTTGTCAAAGCAACCTGAAAGGCTGCTAATAAAGTGGCCCACTATCACCAAAATTACATGCAGTGCCTCCAGCAGTGTTCTCATGCTGCTCTCAAGAAACAGATTCTGTTGTTATCACTTTCCCCTTTGATTAACTTATGCCAATTGAAAATGATGTTCTTTCCCTGGGCTCTAGGCTTCCTGTGGGGTAACCCCCACGGAGACAAACTCCACTAGTCAAACCTTTAGTCACTGTGACCAAACAGCTGATGCTACCAGCTTAAAGGAGGAAGGATTTATTTGAGTGCCCAGTTTCAGAGTGTTCAGTCAATGGTCGTTTGTGCCCATGTCCTTGAGCAGAGCATCATAGTGGTGGAAATGTGTGGTGGGGGAGCTTCTCATTTCCATGGTAGCCAGGAGATATGGAACAAGATCAGGGGCAGGGATCAGGCATAACTTTCCAGTGTACCCCTCCCGGTGACCTACTTCCTTCAGGTAGGCTGTACCTCTTCACTGCTCTACATAGCAACCTCAGCACCTGCTGGGTACCAATCATTCAGTTCATATTCAAACCAATACAATCTTTGATGCTCTTCCATCAGTTTTCACTGAAGGATGCTAGAAGACATTTATTATCCCATTTGTACAGTTGAGGCAAGTGTCTTCAGAGCATAGCAGTTTGGCTTATGTGAAGCTGTGAGATTATTCTCATCATGCCAAAGAAAGCTTCTCATCCCCTAAATAATCATAGAACTATCGTGGACCATGGCAGCCCAAACTTTTTATTATTTTTTTTAAATATTTATGTGTGTGTTTGTCACTTAGAACGACAGTGAGGTTAATATCACTGACAAAGTAACTGTTAGTTAACAGCATTGGAAGAAAACTTTCAATTTTGGAACTATGTAGATCTTATAGCTTATGCATGCTATTTTATCACCTTCATAATTCAACACATTTTACTGACTTGTGTGCATTTGGATTTTTACTTACAGCAAGATGTACATAAATACCACCACTAACAACTATTACATACTTATATACTATGTACTACTTTGTATATAGTACATGCATGTACACAGGAAAATGTACACATGTGCATAGGCAACTGTGAAGTAGATATCAAGGTGAGAGTTCTTCATCAACTGTTCTCCATCTTATTTTTGAAACGGCATTTCACTAAGCCAGGAGCTTGCTGCTTTAGCTAGACTGGTAAGCCATGAGCCCCAAGGATTCTCTTGTCTCAGCATTGGGGTTGCAGGTACACACTGATGATTCTGGCTTAGTTTATGTGCATACTGGTGATCTGAACTCACATCCTAAAGTAGTTTACTAGCTGAACCATTTCCTCAGATTCAATATGAAGTTATTGTATACATAGAACATAGTATCTTCTTACAAGCAGACTATGTAAGCAACACAATTTAGACTATTTTTGTGATTTATCTAATTCATGTGAGTAATTTTAGGTATGTCACTCATATTCTTTATATTGTACCAGAGTTTGCAATATAGTCTACAGGCTAAATCTTATATATGTTGAGTACCCAGACCCTACAATAGGCTAGGAAATGTGTTGTGACATGAGAAAGTTATATGACACTTAAATTGTTATCTGTAAGTCATTTTTATTATAACACAACTATTTTCATTTGTTTACATGTCTGTGTCTATTTCCATGTACTGGGACAGAGATAAATTTGTTTTTGTTGCAAATCAACTGGAATGGTCATAGGGACCACACAACCTAAAATTTTTAACTCTACTGCTGTAGTGGTGGTTTGAATGAGAACACCCCATGGTCTTGTTCCCCAGTTGGCAGCACTGTTTGGGGAGGTTTGGAGATGTGGTGTTGCTGGAGGAAGTATATCACAGAGAGTAGGTGTTAAAAGCTAATGACCTCACCCTACTTCCAGTTTGTTCTCTCTTCTCGTTTCACACTTGCAGTTCAAGATGAACTCTCAGCTTGTTGTCCGGCTTCCTGCTATGCTGGACACTAATGCCTCCAGAAGCACAGGGTCAAATAAACACTCTCTTCTCTAAGCTGCCTTGGTGTTTTAACACAACATGAGAAAAGTAACTAATATAGCTGTCTACAGTTTGCTGGCAACAGTGTTTTATGGCCCAGTCCCACCAATGGGACAATATGGACTAAGAAAGAATTAGCAGATATGATACCCTCCTATGAATCAGAACCATTTGCTTTGATTTAAAATAAGTCGCATGATTAAATCTCTACTCAGGTGTATCTAGTTCTCCTGGGCTTTCTTAAAAACCAAACTCAGAAGTAACTTCTTGCTATTTCTAGTTCATTGTACTGTGGTGAAAAGTGTTGAATTCTTTATTGTGTAGGTAAGTGAGGCTGGTCTTGACTCATAACTCTTCATGCTTCCTCTTCCAGCATCCTGGAATCACAGGCATGCATCAGAGTGCCTTGCTGTGTGCCACACTTTGACTGAACATGAAATATAATATTCTATTTTAAGCTAGGATTACCCCACATCAGGCCTTTGCATCATCTATAAAGAGAGCAGAGAGGGTTTGAATAGGCTTACCAGTCTACATATTAACACATTCGATTATTGTGATATAATCTCAACCTCACCATGTAAGGCAGGAAA